TGTATATTTTAAAAATAAAAATCATATTTTTTAGCAGATTCAGAAGTTGCTCCCCTCCATCTCTCCTCCTCCTTTTTGCTCATGAATAATAAATTGTAATGCAAATTTTGATGTAGGATGCCACATGTCATGTATTTCTTTGGGTGTGCACTGATGTGAGTGCAGTTTTATTAGTGTCAATTTGTTGCTATTGGAGGTTGCAGTTAAAAAAGGTGGTGTGGAGGTGACAGATCGCTTCATCACCACCTGTCCAATTGCTTTCCAAAAAGTGATCACCTGTGGATCACACTACCACATATGTAAATGAGCTCTGTGCTCATGATGAGCTTATGATTGTTCTCTGCAGAAATGGTCCTAATTGTATCAGTTTTATACTCATTGTGTTGCTGTGGACACGTTTCTGGGGTGTCACTATCTCATTAGCCAAAAGCAGGCCCATGCGTCCCACTGAAATACTAATAAGTTTATGTTGATTAAAATTGTTCTTCATTTTAAATATTGTATTATTTTTCCTGTTTTTTTGCACTACAAATAAGATATGTGCAGTGTGCATAGAAATTTATTCATATTTTTTTCAGACTATAGTCCAGCCTCCCAACAGACTGAGGGACAGTGAACTGGTCCCCTGTTTAAAAAGTTTGAGGACCCCTGCTATAGGCCACCAGCTTATAGCTGTCGACATCTTCTGGGTCCAGGTTATGTATTTTCAGTAATGGTTTAATTACAGCTTCTTTTTATTTAAAGAGGCTGGAACACCCTGTCTTTCAAAGAGGAATTTACACCCTCTTGGACACAGATATGAATCCCTTCCTGACTGCAAGCGATGATGGGCAAGGGTCATGATGGGCAAGGGTCAAGCATACAAGTGGTGGACTAAACCTGGCCAAGCATCTTGACCACATCCTTAAGCCTCAATAACTGAAACTCATCCAATAAAGTTGGAGCAGACAGTGCTCTGGATGCCTCTATCGATGGAACTGTATCAAATGTGGATTCTAATTCATAGCAAATCCAAGTGACTTTACCCTCAAAGTGCTGTGCAAATCATCACCGCAAGATACTGAGGGTTCCACAATTTCTTTCTCTGTCCCAGTTTGTAAGAGGCCATGAACCATCAGGAAAAGCTCTGCTTTTCCTCAGACCCTTCTAGAAACCATCAGAATCCATTAATCTCCAGGGGTGAACCATTTTAATAGGTCCTCCAACCTTGCAGAGGGGAAAGGAAGCTGAAAGCCTAGACCTCAAAAGTTAGTGATCTGACCAGGACAAAAGGATTGATGTTAATCTCCCCACTTCCAGATCACCATCTTCTAGTCTACTGAAAAAATCCATGTCCATAGTGTGGCCTTTTATGCTGTTCAGACACAATACTCTGAACCCAACTGACTTAACACCACTGTGTGTTTTCACCTTTTCAATCATGTCAATGGGATACACAACCACTTTAATATGCAATCCATGCAGATTTTACAAAATTTACAGATTTTAAACACGGGAACTACAAAATAAAATGTTGCCACGAGGAGTGATCCTGTGTACCTGTTCCATCATGTAAGTCATGCCTTCCTTCTTCTACCTAATTCCTCTGTGACAGGTTTCTAATTTTTTTTAACCCAGTGGACACTCAGAGTTCAATGCCCATTGACAATGTTCACTCTTCACTGGGCCACTGTGGGCTTTTCCCCACTTAGATATTTTTCCTGAAGATATTTTTGCATTTTTGAAATCTTGGAGCACCCTGATTATGCCAAGACTTCACTTTTGTTGTGGGGGGGTGGGTGGGGGGGTCTGACTATATAAGGATATGCATTTGCAAATTTACTTTTAAAATACAGATTTTATCCTCAAAGCATTTATTACTCACAGAGCAATATAACTCAGTCAGGTCTTCAGAGAGCTAATATTTGAACCTGATGTCCAGATTTCAAGTACAATATACTTTTATGCTTAGCTTTTGGAAACAATCCAATGGCGACTCATGGACTGTTTGCTTTGACAGATAAACTTCCTGTGGGAACCAGGTCTACTTGAAGAATCTCTCACTATTCAGTGTATTAGTATTTAAGGTATGCACACTATACTTAAGCTCTTTCATAAGGCCATAATGAAACCAAATTAATTAAACTAGCTATAATGATCTTTCAAGAGCCACAGCTAATAAATCTACAAAACACTGTTAATTAAAACTCAGTTGCTCAAAAGTGGAGAGTATGTGCCTTAAGGCACAAGTATCCCAATTATATGGTAAAAAGTTAAGCACTGCCAAGGAGTTTTCAAAACACTGAAAAAAGTTATTTGTATGCATCCTTAATGCCAACCTGGCAAATTTCAACATTTTGAACAAACCATTAAGAATTCATTCCCCTCTCAACCAAAAGGACACTTTTGTATTCTTTTGCTGAATGCAAGAGACACATAATACTGCAAGCATTTTAAACTCATGAATTTACCATTTGATTCAAAAAATGCAATTTGCCCTGGGCTAATTGGCAACTTTCATAATGAATAAGCTCTGTAACCAACTACAGGAATACTACCACTGGTAAGTCCTACCTCTTAGAACTATACAGGTTTTCAAATGCATTAAACCTCAGCTTTTGAATGTTCTACATATGCACAACTACATAGGGATTTTATTACACACTATAAAAGTATTATACCTAAGTGACAATAAACAAATACAGCCATCGACTAAAGTAGTGGGGACTGTATTGATTTAGGCTAAATATGGATTTTTGAAAATATATTTTTAACCTAGATACAAAGCAAAACAAAAAGCACACCAATACTGCAACAGTGTCAAGTATATACATGAGGCTGCATGATCCATGGGGATATGTCAAGTATCAGAAGCCTATCTACACCAGTTGCTGGGGAACCTGAACAGAAGGCTGCTGTGGCATCCGTTCCCTACTACTGGGATCCTGTGGGCAGCTGGCTGGCCATGGTGTGAACAGAATGGCAGACAAAGATGGATCCTTGGTCTGACCAAGCATGACCCTTCTTATATTCTGATTAACTCTACAAATCCTTGTTGTGATCCTTTATTTCTGGCTCCTTTCTCAGTAACGGTCACTGTCCTTTGGGCTAACATTCATGTTCCACCTGCTACTGCTGGTCTCCTAGCTACATTCACTTAACAGATCTTGAGATCTCTAGCTACTGGGCAGTATAAACATAAGACAGACAGGCAGGCAGGCAAGATGAAGAGGTTGCATCATCCATCTTTCCTGTTGGGCAGCTACAAAATAATGTAATGTGTTACTAAGATAACATTTCAGTATCTCAACTCCATGACCATTAACTCCATCTTGTTTGGGAAGGTGTGAAAAGCAACGCAACACTTGAACAAGACCTCAAACCAAGGCACCAGGCAGGTGATGATTCAAAGAGCTGTGCCAGCTTCACTGGCTATAGCAGGCAAATGGTCAGCATGGGTTTCTGACACACTCGGCAGGGCACAAAGTTCTCTTGCTTGGAGGTAGAATCTGCAGCCTTTTGGGATCCGCCATCTGGGGAGCAGGGATTCAATCCCTCTTATAAAAAGGCCAGTCCTGCCTCAGACACTACTAATGTCTGTTACACATGTGACAAGTTATGAAGTCCCAGGAGCTATAACTAGGTTATGTTTACAATCCTTCTCTTGAACCCTGAATTTTTCGACTCACCACCTACATCAAGAAAGAAATTAATCTCAATACTCAATCATAGTTACAAGAAGGTACTCAACAATACTGCAGTGGGAACAATCTTGGAATTGTTGTAGATCACAAGCTGAATACGAGTCAACAGTGTGATGCAGCTGCAAAAAGGGGCAAAGGCTATTTTAGCCTACATTAATAAAAGTATCACATCCAAATTGTATGAAGTACTAGTTTCACTTTATTCAGCACTCATTAGGCCTCATCTGGAGTAGTGTGTTCAGTTCTGGGCCCCACAATTCAAGAAAGATGCAGAGCAGATGGAAAGGGTTCAGAGGAGGGCAACAAGGATGATTTGGGGACTGGAAACAAAGCCCTATGAGGACAGGTTGAAAAACTGGGTTTGTTTAGCCTCAAGACAAGAAGACTGTGGGGAGATATGATAGGACTCTACAAGTACTTGAAGGCTATCATAAAGAGGAAGGGCAGGGTTTCTTCTCAATCATCCCAGAATGCAGGACATGGAATAATGGGCTCAAGTTACAGGAAACTAGATTCTGGCTGAACATCAGGAAGAACCTCCTGACTGTTAGAGCAGTATGACATTGGACCTAATTACCTAGGGGCGGTTCTGGGCTCTACCACACTAGAGGCATTCAAGATGCAACTGCACTGCCATCTGAGAGGAATGGTTTAACGTGAGTTCTGCCCTAAGCAGGTGGTTGGACCTCATGGACCTTCCAACTTTAGGATCCTATGCTTCTATGCAAAATCACTTGGCTAAAATAAAAAGGGTGTATTCAATGTCAATGAACAGCATTGGACATGTAACTCAGGCACAGAATAAGCAGCAATGAGTCAGACAAAAAGAAAGAAGTTTCTGTTGTCATCACTCCTCTGATGTCATTTATATTACATTCTGAACCATTAGTGAAAAGACACAAGAGCTACATTTCTACATTACGACGACAGAGCCTCCATCTAGAAAGAAAAGCATTATCAATTCTTCAGTCATTCTTCTCCTCCCTCTCCCTTCTGCCAAATGTTTGCTATTTTCTCTGAAGAGTGGCTTAAGGTAACTGCAAACAGAAAACATTTGGTTTGGAAAAGAATTATAAAGAATTATAAAATTGCCCTCCAGAAAAATGGTTTATTGGTTTTTAAAAATTAAACACAGCCCATTTTCAATTAGCTTTCAGGAGAACCCCACAGTTGTGTGTATGTATATGTCAGGGAAAGCACAGTCTGTAAATTATTAAAATGTAAAGAGATGGCGCTACTGTGGATTTCCTTATTTTTAAAAGAAATAATCAGTGGCTAGTTATTAACCCTAATAAATCTTTGCTACCTATTACTTACTTCTGGAGCCATTCAACAATTTTATTCTTTGTTCGGAGGTGTGGCAAAGTGTACTTCTCCTCTCCATCCTGGAAGTACTTGAGTGTTGGAAAGCCTGATATGTGAAATCTTTCTGCGACAGCTTTGTTGACAGTAGCATCCACTGCTGCCAGGACACCTGGTTTCTGCAATATAAGAGCAATACCTGAAACTCTAAATCATCTGTCGTAAGTCACAGGCTTGGACAGGATATGAGGAATTCACAGACAAGTCATTCAGAATAGGTTTACAAAGGAAGTGCAAAGCATATGCACAAAGGTGTGACTGAACCCTTCCATCACTACCAAGAGCTGGAATGCTTAACAAGCTTTGTTATGATAAGCCACTCTATCCATTTCAAGGGAAGCCCTCATGAAAGATGCCCAGTCAATCCGCTAGACTTCTTCTTGCAACTTGCAAGGGGAGAGACATGAGTGTGCAGATGTTATTCACTGGCTAGCATTCACGTCCAGTGCTTGCTGTACACATGTGATGTGAGATGACTGAGCCTTAACTCAAGGGTTTCTACAAGTGTCTGCATACATATGTATGCACAAACCCACTGGCTTTCCCTTGTAGGCCTTCCTAATTGCCTTTACTGGCCTTTCAAAGTTCCATCCTTCTGTTTCAAACTTCCAAGTATTCAACAGCAAGAGACATTTTCTCTCAAAATGCAATGATACCTTCATGGCACGCTCTTGAATCCCCAAAGTAGGAAGTGTGACTTGTTAGGGGGTGGTTTTAATTGTACTCTTTATAATAACTGTTCATGATTTTTCTCAACCTACCTAGAATGTGCACCAGGTATGCATGAAATTAAGTCAAAGCCTGTACCACTTGCTTAAACAGAAGAAGGAAGCACCCTTAGGAGCTTAGCTTACAAGTGCACAGCATAAATTAAAACCAGTGCTTTCCTGGCATAAAGCTTTAGATCTGCAATTAATGGGGAGGACAAAACATTTCCATGTAGCATTTGGGTTGAGTCATGTTATGTAGAACACAAGGCCTCACTGTTGAATATATAAACACCTTGTGATGCTTACAGTTTTTGTGTGTGTGTGTGTTTAAAGACAGAATGTTCTTGCTAACAATTTTGGCAGATCTCATGCATTACCGATGAGATTGTACTTTGGAACCATCTCTTTCAGATCCCCTTGGGAAGAGAGAAACAGCTGAAACAGTTGCTGCAAGAAAAGAGAATGATTTTTATGACTGTAAGGATCATTTGGAAATGGAGTTAGGAAAGGGAATCAACTTACATCACTGTCTGCATGGAGCATCTCAGCAGCCTTCTCATATTCTGGCTTCATTTTCTTGCAGTGCCCACACCCTGTCAGAGAAAAGTTTAAATGAACACACTCACACATACGTGCACATATGTGCAAAGATATAATTCATCAAAACTACAGCTGATTTTTGAAAACAACCTCTTTGCTCATCTGAATTAGCAAAAACCAGTTAAAAAAAAACTAATGCATGTATCAGACATGCATATGTAAAACTTGATATTTTATGGCTTAGTTTTGTTTTCTCGAGCTTTGGAGCTTTTAGAGTAACACTCTAATTCTGCTTAAAAGCTTCTCTGTTTTAGCAATAAAGATGGCATTTTGCTTTAAAAAAAAGATAATCATACAATTCAAAGAACTGATGTTGTAGTACCTGCAACAGTCCCATTATCACAAGTGCCTGAAATTAGGAATTCAAGCAGGTATTTTTTTCCTAATGTAGTTTTTTTCAAATTATATTTTTTGAAGAAGAATTTACTTCAAGCTTTTCCTGAGTGTACATAGTTCTCTGCCTACACAGCTCAGGAACCCCTACAACACATCATATGGCAAGCAGGTATTATCACTGGCTGTTACAGGTAGGGACTGAGGCTGCAAGATCAGCTTGCTTAGGGGCATTCAGTGAGTTTGTGGTTAGTGCAAAATTTGAAAAAGGGCCTTCCTGCCCCACAGCTTACCCTAGATCTAAGATTGAGAAACCACTGATTGACGCTCACCGATTAAGATACATCTCTACATCACCAAAGGTTATTGCTTTGTGCCTCACTTGGGTGCACACTGGATGGTGAGCTTTCAATCCAGGAAATCATACACTGGTACTATGATTTACTGGAGTGTGGGAAGTTTTTGGCTGTGGGCACTGCTTACAGGTACAATTGTGCCTCTTACAGAGAGTCCACTGGCTCAGAATGGATTCTTTGTCCTGTCCGTGCAATTACCTTACACAAGACTTGTCTTTCTCTTATGAAAGAGGCAAGTACATAGACTACCACCTCCTGATACATTCTAAATTTTATTCTCATACACATAAAACACCCACATTTTGACCAACTCAATGACAAAAAAACTTCTGCTTGGGTAAGATGGGAGTACAAAAAGAGCATGATTCTTCAAATTCCTGTTTCCCACCTGCTTAAGTGACATCAGTAGCATCTTTAACAGCTGCTTATTTGGCATTTCTTTTTTAATAACTGCACTGAGTCAAGCCCTACTCCGTCCATGCTAATATCCATTTTGGTTTGCTGTAAAAACATATCATTTTACTTCACCCATTATATATGAAAACCTGACACTTGGTTTGGTCTGGCACTTTAATGCAGTGAATTGCTGCCAAGTGACAAGCCTGTTCTTCTCTTGGAAATATAAAAGCATTAAAACACTTATGCAAATAAGCCAGACGGGAAAAAACAGATTATAAAACAGATATAACTCATATGCATGTAGGTTTTGAAGCTTTTCCTATCACAGCCCCTCTTCTAACAGATGATCTGGGCCGGTCCATAGATATCATGCTCCCAGGAGCAGCCAACACACTGGAATGTTTGGAAAGGGTTGAAATTTGCTACTAAGCAGAGCCCATGTGGCACAGTGTTGGAATGGGGACCTGGGAGGTGCAGGTTCTGGTTCCCACTCAGCCATGAAGCTCACTGGGTGACTTCAGGTCAGTCACTCACTCTACCCCACAGGGTTGTTGTGAGGCTAAAAATGGAGTGGAGGCAATCTATGAAGGCCACCTTGGGTTCTTCATAAGAGGAAAAAAGGTGGGATATAAATGCAATGTAATAATAAAATAATTTGCATATGTCTATTAGATAAGGTGAAATAAAACTGCCATTTCACTTTAGAAATATTATTTTCTTCCTTTCTGAAATGATCCAATGACCCACACTTTTCTAGCATGCCCCCATTCTTCGTTTTCTTTAAAATAGCCTGAAAAAGTTTGCCAGTTAATTTGAAACGGTTTGATGGGTCCTAACAAAAGTATCTGGTTGATACTTTCATTTTTTAAATTTGATTAGTAGCAGAAAACGTTTTATTAAATCTTTATTTTTCTGCCTTTTCCTTGCAAGATCGTGAATCATCACCCAGAAGTATGTATCTGGTGCATGCTGATGCTCAACTGACAAGTTAGCTAGGCGTTCTTGTCCTGTATTAGAATGCCTGCATTTTGCATGAGTGACAGTCAGGGTTCATCCTCCCAAATGACAGGTTGACGTCACCTGCTTGAAGCAGAGGCTACAGAAGAGCAGCACTGTCTGCCCACCCTCTGCTGCCATGATCTCACTTTTGCCTTCCTCAGTGAGGTCATCATGGTGGGCAGGCACGCTAGAGAAAGTCCTTCTGCAAAGCATACAGGAGGAAAGCGACTAGAGAATGCTCCACTTTGAAGACCCCACTGTTTGAAAAGCTGTACTGGCCACTTGCCTGCCTGCTGTAGCATCTCCAGCATCTCTAGAGCATCCACCTAGCCTGATGCATTGCTTTGAAGAGTCCTCAGAGAGAGCCATCAGTGAGGTGGTGGCAATGGAGGGAGAACAGGTGCTTCACTAGGTTCTGTGTATGTATGTTGGAGTCCAATTTACACTGGAAAACAGTTCTTCAGGAATAACTTATCATATGCATTCTGATGGAGAAGAAATGCACATGAGCTTTACTGCAAATCAAGGTGCAGCTTCATACACAAAATATTATTTGGAAGCACAAGTTGCCATTATATTTTCAGCATGGAATTTCCAGTCCAGCAAAACAGAAGCTGTAAGAAATACTCAGACATCCAGTGACGTGGGAATTTTTATGTCAATGGGTAGGAGTCAAGAGTTGTACTTGTCAGACAGCTTGTATTCTGTCATGCAAAGAATCTTTGTTTTCACGTTCAGCTTCGGAACTTGGCAGTGAACAATCTTAAACTGCATGTGCAAACTAATACGAACTGTCAGTGCCTTTCCCTGCCCACTCAAAAAGATACCAATCCTACAGAAAGTGAGCCTTAAGAACATGGGAAGAGACCTACTAGATCAGATCAACGGCTTTCCTAAGTCCAGCTTTCCAACTTCACAGTGCACACCAGATGCATTTGGGAAGTCCACAAGCAGGACACAAGTGCACATCACAGTCTGTGCAGGCGAATTCTCAGGCAGAGCATGAAAACCAGCCCACCTTCACCAAGAGGAGAGACTTTTTGGAGCTGGAGTGGGAGGAAATGCAAGGGGAAGTTCCTTCAGCCAGACAGGAGACCACAGGTGAACCCAGCTGGCCGATTAAGCCATATCCAGCATTCCCACCATCTAGGTTGTGAGAAGCAGGAGCTGTCCTGAGAGGGGAGCCAGAAGCTGTACTGAAAGGGAGGGATGGAAGGGTGTTTCAGTTTGGATTCAACTCTTCACAAGGGCGGGTGCTTCTCCCACATCCTAGGGAAAATACTACTTTGATTTATACTGTTCTGTATCCTGTTAAACTTTAATAAGAGAACTGTGCAACTCAAGTTTCATTTGAGTCTACTGGAGAGGGAAAATGACCTGCTCGTGACATCTTGTAGCTCAGTTGCTAGTGTTCAGAATCATATATGGCCTTTGATACAAAGGTAACCTATAGCCATCGTGATCAGTAGCCTGTCTCATCCTGCTTTAAAATGATGTTGGCATCCATCAATACACCTTGTAACAGTGAATTCCACAGTTGGTTTATGCACACCGTTTTGTCTATCATGAATCTCAAGCCAACTGGCTTCATGGTACAACCCAGCACTCTAGTACTGTCAGAAAAGGAAAAACTTTTCTTACTCACTTTCCTCACACCATGCATCATTTTATACACCACTACCATGCCCTCCAGTTGTCTTTTTTCTAAACTATAAAGGTTGTAGCCCCACTTCCTCCACCCCTTGATCAATGTGGTCAGCGTTTTTGGAATCTTCTCCAGCGACTCAACAGGCTGTTTTGAAATGAGATGACCAGAACTGTATGCTGTATTCCAAGTATGGAAACTGCCTTTTTAACCAGGAGCTGCACCCTGGATGAGCACCAGGATCCTTTTCCTACCTGGTCACTGCCAGTTCACAAGGTCCGCTAGGATTGTTGTTAGGCTTTTTTTGCCTTTGAATTGCAAGTGGAGACTGACAATTTAATGCCCATTCCCTCAGTTTGGAAAGCTCCTTCTGGGGCTTTTCACAATCCCTTCTTGTTTTAACTGCTGTAAATAATTTGGTGCCATCTGCAGCCTTGGCAACCTTACTGCTCCTCCCTAGCTCAGGATCACTTATGAGAAAGTTTAAAGATACCGGTTTCAGTACATAGTCTTTAGAGCTCTCTTGGCTTTCCCCCCTCCATTGTGAGTTACTGGACAATAATCCTACTGTGTGGACTATACAGCACACTGTAAGTCATGATGAAAATAAGTGACGATAGATTGGATGTCCTGTAGATGAGTTGCCTGATCACTAACGAAAGATAATTCCATAGACAGTAAGTTTGACTATGTGCTATGTGAAGCAATGTTTCCTTTTCTCCATTCTGAATCTCCCACCAATCAGCTTTATGGGAAGACCTCTAGTTCAAATATTATAACAATGTTAGAAAAATGTCCCCATAGCTACTTTCTCTACAACATTCATAATTTTGAACACCTTCATTACTCAGCACTCTCATAAGTGAAATAATTCTCCACCTCTCTGTCTGGTTTTCTGCTTCTGATATATTCAAGAATCCCTTGTTGTTGTCCCTGATGTTGTTAGTGATGGGCTTCTCACTTTTTTGGGGTTTTTTTGCATCTCTTATTGTGTGCTTGTATTTCTTTGGTACAATGTTGTGTTTCTTTGTGCTGTCCTCATTTGAGCAAGACTTCCCTTTTTTCAAGGAAGCCCTCTTTTCACTAACAGCCACGCTGACCTGGTTTGTTAACCATGCTGGTGTCCCTCTTGGAATTGATGCTATCATTCCTGACCTGCAATGCACATTCTGTCTGCACTTCCGTTATTGCAGTTTTGAGCTGAGTTCCTAGTATGTTGGAATGATATACCCCTCTTGACTCCACCTTTCCGGTTCCTTTC